TATATATATATATATATATATATATATATATATATATATATATATATATATATATATATATATATATATATATATTATTCAAAAATGGTCGATTTGTTGTACCACAAGTTTATGTGACATAATAATATTGTTGAAATGGGTATGCATGAGCACTTGAACTTCGAACGAGATCACTGTTTCTTGTGATCTTATAGCACGCGCACGCCGACAACAACCCGTATCAGGCACGGATTTTTAATTATATTGTGTTTCCGGAGCTGAATGCCGTATAGGAAGTCAACTTACATATATTTGTTTTCAGTGTCGGAAACGCAGGAAACACATAGCTACCGTATGACGGTGATTGTGTTTTGTTAGACAGTGGAACCAGTGTTTGGACAATTACATAAAACACACTTAGAGACAGTTTTCTGTGTTATGTGGAGGAAATTTGAAACAGTAAAAGTTCGTCCGAATTAGAATTAAACGAACCCATACATCATAAAGGCTATGCGTAACTTTCCAAATTGTGTCAATATACGCCTCGGAAATATTAACATAAACGTTATTCTAAGTTGAAACAATCTGCCATTAATTGAAGTAGAACTATAAATATCAACGGAATTTCAGCCAAGATTATAAACGTAGTGGTGTAATTTGATCAGAGAAATTGAAGTTTCGAACATAATCAATATAATAAAGATTTTTAAATATAGTAGGTTATGTAGTTTCTTCAACTCTACAAGAACCATACCTTGTTATTTCCGAATAATACAAGCAGTATACGCTGAAGTAATCACCGCCCTCAGTAGATACTCACGGTCATCCTTTCGTTTGACCAAATATTGAAGCTTGTGGAGAGTTACTGGTAATAAAACAGTGTACATGGAGACATTCTATTGAAGCAGAACAACTAATCAGCACTCTTTACCGAATCAAATATTTAGTATCGATACAAAGTTCGAGTCGACATTTTCAAGAATTTAGAATACAATCTTTGGGATACCATAATTAGTGGTTAACTGTTTTTGGCGAAAAAGACGAAACATTGCAATCTCGAATTAAGAAGATTTTGCCAATTAGACTCCTCTTTTTAACTTGCATGTATCATCAAAGTAAAAGGGAAAGGTATATTAAAGGGGAAAATGTCTGTCGTTGTTGTCTAGGTCGTCGCCGTGGTTAATAATTGTTAATGTGTGCACAATAACTTTACTAATTCTATTCCAAACTTTATCTAACTTGGTCATCTAATTCATCAGTATAAAATATTCCCCTACTACGAACGACAGAAAACAAGATGTCAGATAATCAATATAAGCACTCCTATGCATAACCCATTGTGTGCCAAACTTTTGATGGAGAATCTGAAGCCGATTTGAGTTCATTTGCATACAAAGCAGAGTTTGCCACATGATAGTTATTCCTAGAGGGCGTTTTTTTACTTTTCAAATAATACAGTAGTCACACAATGAATATAATAAAGTAGTTCATATTTGTCTTAGTAAATCCTTAACTTTTGACAGGTACCTGTACAAAATACAGCTAAGCTTTTCTGTTATCTTGCATGTTTTACGATTTCATTCATGTCTAAATGTAGCTCTTTTTTCTGAGATGAGGTATTTGTTTTTATACTAAAATATCTGGATTACTTCGAATGTAGCTGGGAATTGTAATTAAAAATAATTAAATAAATTATGCACCAATTTTTTTGTAAGATATTTTCATCAATCAAGGACATTTGGTAGAATGCTTTCTCACTGCTGTTTCAATCCTAAAACTTGTTTGTATTCAAAATTAATTATGACAATGCATATATTGAAACAAACTATGATAAAGGAAATAATATTATATAACTATGTTTTGTTTGTTGCTATCACAATAAATGCAAATTAACCACGATGTGTGTACTGTCTTGGCAGATATACTCTTGAAAAACACATTTAGTTTGATCTCTAGTTTCACCAATTAATTCACCATTTTACGCAATCAGACACCGCAGCTGAAATTAACGTGTTAATAATTTATGTTTCAGACAATCGCCCACCGATCGTGAAATTCTCAAAGAAGCTCATATTTGGACAAAATATTTGAGAAGGAGAGCGTGGAAATTCGGAGACTGTGGAAATGACGCCGTCCTGCTCCTTTCTCTACAAGATAAAGTGGTAAGGTTAACATCTTGCTAAAATGTGTAATTTATATCTTTGATACAAAAATAATAACGGTATTATGCATGATATGTGTCGCAGATTTCCGAAATTAAAACGGCACATTAAGAGTTTCTGTCTCGAAAATGGCGATCTAAATACAGAATTTACTTATATCCAGCAAATCAATCAGAAACTTGCAGTACTAGTGTTTAACTATGCAGTAAGACTAATTACATCGCCATTTCGAGCTATTCAAATCTGCATCGTTATCTACATCTCGATAAGTTCCTACAAAAGATTTGTTCTTTTTTTTAGATTTATATGAGTACCGGGGAAGAGGTGTGCACTATTTTAAGCGACAGGAAAATTAAAGAAATTCTAGTGACGTCATCGTGGCGGTTTACCGACCGGGATTATTTTCTTGGCCTCAGAGATATCACACAGACGCTTGAAAAAACGCTCCGCGATGGCGATAAAGATGAGACGGAACCCTTTGTTTTAGGAATGACACTCGAGGAAGTAAAATACATTGGATTTATTTTATTTGGACCACTTACTATTTTAGATTTAATCACGATTGTGTTTTGTGCGCAAGTGTTTTGTAATGTCTACGTCAGAGGTTGCAAATCACATGACGTGTGCTATAAAGTAGAATTCAAAAAGAGACGAATTTCTGAAGGGTTCAAACTGTGTTGCCAACCGGTGGGGGCGCTGTTAGTTGTGGCGTTGGTGGCTGCTGTTAACGTCGGCGCGTTCGCGGGAATCGTACTATTACTGAGACACGAAACATCGTTATGTGGAGTAAATAGTGGAGCTGGCGTCAGATGGACTTGAACTGAAATTAAATTAATATCACACAACCGTTCCATCAGAAAGACTCTCAAAATAACTATTCATGAGTATTGAAATTTGCATACGCGGTGCGCTCATGATCACTAGATACGAATTCAGTATTCAGTCGAGACATGGTTTCGACACGTGTACACTGCCAGAGATCACAGAGATCTGGAATATACACTCTGTAATATTGTGATGTTTCCACACAGAGTACGCAGACACGTGGATAACTACCCACCGTACTAGTAGTGATACAATTGCGACTATATACACCGCCGACGACATTAACGGACTACAACTATTATCGAAAATGGGTAAGAACCCACAAGACTTGAACTATATTACCAGTTTGCACACGACCTTCAAAGTACATGCAGTTAAAAAAATATATATATTTGATAGTTCTCATTTGTTTCAAAATTAACAACATTGTTTAAAATTGTGTAAGAATACATGCTGCCGCAGTACAGACAGACGTTATACAACCATGATATCGTCAATGAAAAACTCTCAGAATACAGAATATTATTAAATATTAGCATAAATGTATTTTTATAGCTACATACACGATCAAAGTGCCCCACCCCCATAAAAACAAAGACAAACAACTATTTTTTAAAACTGTTGTGTAAATATTGTTGTTAAATTCTAACTCTTTGTATTGCTTATTTATATTTTAGAACTATTTCAATTATCAATAAACAAAATATTTTCAATGTCATTCGACATAATACTTAGCTTGGAGTGTTACATATCAAACGAATAAAACGGTTGAAATGGGAAGTCAACACTGTGATAACCCTCACACGTGTAATTATGACGTGCCAATCACCTACATCATTGTAACGATGACTTACCTCTAAAACAAGACGACACAAAGTGTTGCCAATTCGCGTCATAGCAATAAGCAGTCCGTATCGATGACGCAGTAGGACGTAAATCATAATGACGTCACCAGTGAAGAAGGAAGTTCTTAGCGTAATCAGTATTGTAACAGTGAAGCTATTTAAACGGGCTTTACTATGTTAATATTTGTAATTCAATACGTGTCTCAGCATTTGTGGATTATGTTTTAGATTGATATACAGGAAACCTCCTTATCCCCCGACCCTATTCCCCAATTCAATTCATTTAGATTAAATTTCAATCAATTTAAGTTTAAGTTACTTTAACTAATTTTAATTTCATTAACTGAAATTAAATTGCAAACTAATATAGGATTGCAATATAGTTGATTTTAATCTCCACGTAAATTTGAATTAAATTGTAATTAAATTGCATTTCTATATAGGCTTGCATATTAAAACTTTTGATTTCAATGAATTCTTAATTTAATATATGTAATATCTTCAATTTTTATGTGTGTGGGGAAAGGAGGGGGAGTGGTATTGACGCAATCATGAATATCCTGTATGCTCTATTGGTGATTTGTTATAGTAAGTATATGTATAATCATAGACCCAACCATCCTGTAAGATCTGAGGAGTTGCATGCTTACCCATAGGCAATTAAGGATTACTCATACGTAATTTAATACTCTTACAACCCCTTTTCCTCGTTTATCATATAGAGCGTGGCATATTTCACATTTCTTATATTTAACGACAGACACTAATGACAAATAATTGAAATGGGGCTAAAATATGGTCCGTTCAGTGTTTTTCCCGGATATACTATAATATTTTTATTGTTGTATTCAAGAAAAGCAACAGAAACCTTTCGTGACAGTTTTTATCCCTCTAAATTGTTAGCGCAGGATTCTGGAAGTGTGAAAAATCCTCTCGTTTCAAGTTTCCGCACTGCACTGCCACTCCGAGTGTGGAGAGGCAATTGTGGTGCGAGGCCGAAAGAACCAAGACATATAGCCATTGTCGGCGCTGTTGTAATAGCCCCGGGACGAGACTTAATATCTGTTCAATATTTTCGGATTTAAATTTAAATCCAATATAAACAGAAGTTCAACGTGATCTTTCCTCTCAATTTAAAAAAATTCCGCTACTGAGAACAGCATGCATTTCCACATAAAAAAAACAGGCAAGTTTGCCCTAAAGCTATACAGGTGTCACTCCACACTATGCATTGTTCTCGTTAGACGGGTATAGTTACAGGTGCGGGATAAGTCGATAGAGAATAACTCCAGCCGAGGTCAAACGTCAGAAGGACTGGGGCCAAACACATACCAACTATGCCTGCGTTAAATTTACACTAAACTATCGCACCGTCTGATATTTTCAGCGATTGGTGTACAAACTGACCACATTTAATCTAAAACCTCTGTAATTACGTAAATATATGAGTGTCAAAAGTTACCTGGAACCATATATGCCGTAGGACAAACATCCTAAAAACAAGTATCAACACGAGTCCTGAGTAACCTGTATTGATTGCACATTTCAACAAACAAATACAACAAAAGAATAGAGCGAGGGATTTAGTGATATTGACATGCAATACAGGAGTTCACATAATTGAGTAGGTAGGTGTGTACAGCGGCGGTCCATTAAATAACTGGGCTACCACACGTAGACTTAACAATATTCCCGGCATCACCAGCAGTGGAGATGTCATTGGAATCATCAACAATAATGTACAGCTTCATTCCCATATGTTATTTGTCGTTCTGTGCGTTGCTCTTCGAGTGTGACGGTATCGTGATAAGAAACGTGGCTACTGACGACGACATGATGATTCAAGAATTTACGTACTGTAACGGGAACGTCAGTGCGTGTATGAAAGTGCCGGGTCGAATATGCAACCAAGATGATGTCCTGTCCGCCTACCAAGGTAATAATAAATGCGATTCATGGGACACTAGTTAGTCCCTCTCAAGTTGTTTAAACGCGCCCCGCTATATATAAAACTACGGAATGGTTCCAATTGCAACTCGTGGTTCCATTACCATTATTATAACCAGTACCTTATTTCATATGTAAAAGCAAAGAAAGAGGAAGTGGTTCGTGCATCTTCCGAATCAATGAGGAATTTAGGAATACATGTATTATCGTCAAGGACTGTCGTGGAAACCAATATGAAATTTAAAAAATATCGCAGAGAAATAACAAGAAAACAAAAGCAACATCGAGTCTATCTTGCTCATATTTTTGCATTCAATAAAACAAAAGAAGAGCTACGTTAAAGTATAATGAATATACTACTTGACGGATCTTGATGCTCAGTTTGACACAGATCCATACATCACCAACTCGGTTAATCGATTTCTCTTGCTAATTCTCGTATGAACTTGTTTCCGTTTTTCAGTTCAACTTCTTGAGAATCAGCTGTCCAGTTTCCAGCAATCCACGCCATGTCCCTGCAACGACGACAACTGTACTACTAGATTTATGATGACTATACTATTGTTAAACGAATTACCTTGGAATAAAACTGATCCGTAAGTCTGCATGGTTCGCACCCTACGGCTTCAGACAGTCGCATGGTGTGGGCGAGGTGGTGGGATTACTTTAGAGTTACAATGCCATGTATGTGTTTGGATGATAGCTGATTAAACTTGTCATATATAAGTATACGGTTGTTGGTTGATTTCCGAAAACGGCGACAGGGTTGTTTTCTATGTATTTTAGGACCCATGTTCGAACTAGCCCAACATTTTCTTCGTGTACTGTACTGTATTGCAACTTGGAATTAATTTATCAATACCAAGAATATAAAATACTTTTATTGAAAATTGCTATATAAAACACCTATTTTATGGAAGAATTCATCAGTGGTGTCCAAATAGTGATCTACAATCAGTTCATTGTTAAGTTCCAGTGAAATATCAGTCATAACGGTGGAGCTATTAACGATGATCTCACCCAATAAGATGTACGGTACGCACTACACATACAAACACAACATCCTTAAACTTTCTGCTAGTAATTTTTATAATGTAATAAAAATAACCCCGATACCTCAGTTCATAGTAACAGTTCGTCCCTATAAAGTACCTCGATGTATTAAGAATTACGTGTAATGTCTATTTCGCATACGAGTCGTCAGTTTCTACTAGTCAGTACACGTACTTTGACACAGTCACTCTGCTCTATTTCATGGATGAGTAAATTGGTGTTTTTTTCCAGCTTATATCAACGTAAAGATGTCGCGGTGGCCAGGATGACTAACACATTCAGGATAGAACTGGAAAAATCAGCAAAGTGTGGAGAGAATGTTGTTATTGTAATAGTGGTGCAAGAGAAAATGGTAAGTAAAAATATCTTTGTGTTTAACAAGAGTCTATCTCTCGCTCGATCGGCCAATAATCACCAATGAATCAACGAATCATTCAATCTGTCAATCGTTTTTTCTCCCAAGCTGCATATTTCCATCGGGCCGGCGTTCTGCAAGGTCATACACGAGGATCACTTAGAAGATGTCCTGTCTATCAAGCAGTTGTATTTCCAGTCTGGAGATATATATACAGGCATAGAGAAATTGATTAACGATATGTCGAGAATTAACAGCATGGCTGAGCAAGGAGTTTACTGGGTAGTCGTCGCTTGTATTATCACTTTTATAATGTGTTGGATTGTGTACACACAGGTTGCATTCTGGTGCATCACACGTCGAGACAAGAAGACTTCGTGGGAATACTGGACTTCATTTTTCGTATGTGTCTCGACTTTGACAGGTTGTGGCGCCCTCTCCGTCGTTTCTTATTTTCTCGTAGCTATGCCCATTCTCGCTCACAAGTATTGCGAGACGAATGGGGCAGATGCGAGTATGGCGTGGTGATTAGACATGTGACTAGTAACAGTGAACAATTCTATGTTAGAGTAACCTTTTTATTGAGACAGAATATGGTTGCTGAATTTTCGAAAACGCTTGTTTTCTATGAATGAGACTCGTGCTAATGACTCATTTGTAATTATAATTACTTTATTGTATGGATTTTTATGTTAATTTATTTATGCCAGAATGTTATAGAACATATTTTGCAAGTTATATTTGCTATTATAAAACACTTATTTATGGAAGAATTCATGATTCACCAATTGCGTCCAAATCATGTATTGAGCTATATTGTCTACAAAGAACTGCAATGTACTAGACTGGCACGTAATGGTCCCGTGATTTACAAAGCTGGGACAGAAACGAAGAATGTGATATCGGATGGTCTGTGTGGTATACATGGGCAAAGACAAGTGAATTGACCGAGTTAGTGATTGGCGCGAATGAATACAGTATGTGTATTACGGTATTCGATGTATCCCCATGCCCGCGATGGAAACAATTGTGTCAAGCTGCGCATGCACTCCGAGTTAAGAGTTTGTATCAGTTATCAAAAAGCATGCCATTAAGGTGGAAACATGACCGTGTTCATTGACGGTGGTATCCATTGCAGTGTTCTTTGGTTTATTATGTATAGGAACTATTGTTGAGGCAATCTTTGTGTGTTACAGTGACGGTTTTTGATAAACTTTTCAAAATTCAATAGAACACAGTATTAAGGTACAATGCATTTTTCGGCACTTTTTAAAACAAAGATTTTTGAAATAATTCAGCACAACAAGAAGTACCAGTATCATTGTCAATATGTGATTTTACTAGCCTACAATTTATGATAAGGCATGATAAACCTGCCATAGGAACCTATTGTAAAAGCGTAAAATACAAAATGAAAACCACGAAAATACAAGCATCGGTTCCTCGAAAATGGTGACCCAGACTTTTCAAAGTCAATATCCCTATATTGCTCTGGAGTACAATTTATTGCAATGTGTATACATTTTCGGGTATTTATTTATGAGTTGCCTTCTACCTTAAAGGAGTAATTTTTAATTCCAGCAACTAAAATAAATGTTCATACTTCACTACCATGTGGTTTGGATGATTTACAATAAATTGACTGCCAATAACATGAAGGGGTAAATTACAAAAACAGTAAGAACATTTACCCGTGTCTTTGATAAGGATGAATGAATTGTGACATATATCACGTATGCGTACAGACAAAATCACTCGGGCATTTCGTGTATTCATGTTACCAACAGCGTCTAATGTCCAGTGACGTCATAGAACCAACTTCTATCACGTTTTACGAAAAGAAATAGACACAGTTGTGTAATCAATCGAATTTTCATGAAACAGATAAAGAATTAATTTCCGCCAGATGGTGACTATTTAGTTTTCCGGGGGTGTATCATGGCACCATGTAGGTACTTGTATATTGTGAATAACTAAGAGCACTACCATAATCTGCATCAAAAAATGTGTTGAAAAAGAAAAAAAATGTGTGAGAGGTGAATGTGCCTGCCCACTGACTTGATCTACTGAGTCGCCCATTGACTCGAAAATAAAAAAAACACGTGTTTAGCAGTAACCTCACTCGCTGGGCAGAATTGTATCCATTGTTATACTGAGCCAGTGGTATCCATTGTTATACTGGGTCAGTAGTATCCATTGTTATACTGAGCCAGTGGTATCCATTGTTATACTGGGTCAGTGGTATCCATTGTTATACTGAGCCAGTGGTATCCATTGTTATACTGGGTCAGTGGTATCCATTGCTATACTGAGCCAGTGGTATCCATTGCTATACTGGGTCAATGGTATCCATTCCTATACTGGGTCAGTGGTATCCATTGCTATACTGAGTCAGTGGTATCCATTGTTATACTGAGTCAGTGGTATCCATTGCTATACTGGATCGGTGGTATCCATTGCTATACTGGGTCGGTGGTATCCATTGCTATACTGAGTCAGTGGTATCCATTGTTATACTGGGTCGGTGGTATCCATTGCTATACTGAGCCAGTGGTATCCATTGCTATACTGGGTCAGTGGTATCCATTGCTATACTGGATCGGTGGTAACCATTGCTATACTGGGTCGGTGGTATCCATTGCTATACTGGGCCAGTGGTATCCATTGTTATACTGAGTCAGTGGTATCCATTGTTATACTGGGCCAG